GGCTTCGTTGCCTGACCCAGATAGATTCTTCGTGTCACTCTGTTGCGGCGAAGTAGTGTAGTACTCGGGAAGGCCTCTATTATGTGCGTATGGTCCTGGACGTCGTACGGACGGGATACCTACGTGCATTGCCCTACCAGTCCGGCGTGGTCCGCTCTATGCGTATCCGTATCTGGATACACGGCAGGTCTTTCTGGTCGCGCGCGCGCGCGTACGCGCGAATAGTAAATAATCAATAGTTATCAAAGCAATTTATTTGAGTAAATACTAATTAGAAGGAGAAAAACATTTACAACTTCTTTTTCACACGATCAATAGCATTCAACACGTTCTTAATGCTGTGATGTGTTGAAGGAAGTGACTTTTGTTTAATACTAAGTGCTTTTTCTAGAAGTGGAAGTGCTTTTGAGTACTCTTCCATTTCTTCATATAAATGACCGATGTTGTTGTAGGAAGTAGCCAAATCGGGATGAGTCGGAGGCAGAGATATTTCTCTGATTTTGAGTGATTTTTCGTAATATTCCAGTGCTTTCGAGTATTCACCCATGTTTTTATACACTGCACCGATGTTGTTGTAGGACATAGCCAAATCGGGATCAGTGGGAGACAGAGATATTTCAAAGATTTTATTTGCTTTTTCGTAATATTCCAGTGCTTTCGAGTATTCACCCATGCTGCTATACACTCCACCGATGTTGTTGTACATAGTAGCCAACTCTGGATCATCTGGTGAGAGAATTTTCTTGCATATCTGGAGTGATTTTTCGAAGAATTTAACTGCTTGTTGGTATTCACCTTGATGATATTTCATCACTCCAAGTTGGTGATAGATATGTGCCCTATCACTATCATCAGAAGCATTCTCGAGTAATTCATTGTAGAGTTCCTCAGCTTGATCGAAATGACCCACTTTAAGCAATAATTTACCCATTCGATGCCACCCTCTCCCGCTGATTTCCTCTTTGATGCGATCAGTAAGACCAGCCAGTTGTGGATCACTCTCGTCAGTAATAGTCAAGTGTACTTCCCAAAGACGACTATTTTCAGCCGTCCGTTTAATTTCACCAACACGAAAAACAGTGTGCATTGTAAATAGTATTTCTTGTTCTTGTGGGATAGCACTGTGTTCACCAATCATTGCAAATGGTGTGATTGAAGTTGATATTTTACTTGGATCTATTGTCATAATAAACACAACACCCACAATATCAGGATTTCTCTTTAGGGCACGTTGAACAAATGATGTGGCCTCTTCTCTTTCCATACTAGTCGATAAAAAGTTGTTGAACGATAGTAGACCACCTTGTGAATCTAGTAGATTCTGAAAGTCTTCTTTGTTCATACCTTGACCACGATAAACGGTAAATGGTTTCTGTAAATTTGTTGCTTGTTCCTGATGCAATTGTTTCAGTTGAAGATGAAGACTTCGAATAAAAAAGCCTAACTTCGACATCGCTTCCATGTCAAGCAATCGTAATCCACGATTGAGCATGCCATACAGAAACATTTCACATGTATACCACCATACTGGTGATTTCTGGTGATATTTACGCTTTAGTTCATTTATTTCTGTGTCAGGAATTTCTTTTTTTTTGCAATAAATTTCTAAAGCTTTAATAGATTTGGCATCGTCATCATTGATTTCTAATACGATGTCCTTGAAGATCACTGAATACATGTAAGCTGGAGGCAGCTGATTAATATTTTCCTTATTCGAGGCTACATCTGACGTGCATCGCTTCGGAACGAAGCTCATGGGGATCGAATCGTGATCGCACTCATGAGCGACCTTTTTGAGCGATTCGCATATTGGCTTGATCGAGGTGAAAACACCTCGAATCTTTGGCCATTCCTTCGCCCATGATTCATGGCGCGCTTTGTTGCCACAAAAAATGTAAATGGCATCCACTTTTGGTAAGCTGTGGATGTCATTTACAAGGCCTTGTCCCAATGGTCCCGATGAAATGATGAAGGCTTTGCCATCATCAATTTCATTGAGAAATTGGACACATTCTTCTGGTGACGTGCACACATTCACATCACTTACCACTGCGCGTAATTGTGCCAGGGTGTTTCGACAATCACTATTATTTTCGTTGATGTTGCCATCGACCCAAATCACCAAGTAATTCTGAGTCATGCGACGCCTTGGTGCTATAGCACCCGATAGTGTTGCTCTGCTTGAAGCACCACTAACTGCTGATTTTGGAACAGTTGATTTTGGAACAGTTGATTTTGGAACAGTTGATTTTGAAACAGTTGATTTTGGAACAGTTGATTTTGGAACAGTTGATTTTGGAACTGTTGATTTGGATTTTTGTCCACTCATGTCGAGTACGTGCTGTTGCTTATTACAAATGATGAATAGTAATGTGTTGTTGAGACACCAGACTCGTTTAGATTTATATAGCCTAGACTTTACTTTTTTTATGGATATCTTTTAAAACGTTAAATGTGGGTATTTTATCTTTTCTCTGTTGATACTCAACAACAGATGCTTACCTTATCTCTATTGCAGATATGCTTATCAGCAAGAAACGAAAGAATAGAATTCAACTGTCACGAGTTTCATGATTATTTTTTTCCAACTTTCGTTTACTTATCGTGGTTGTAGGCATTTGAGTGTCATTGTGTGAACAACTTCGTCTTCTTCAGTCAGCAGTGTCACATATCCAACAAATCGGGCATGCCAGAGATGCCAGAGGGTGTGGGTGTGTGTAAATTCCTTTGGTACACCCACACCCTCGCCTACACG